GTTTGTAGGTGTTCAGAATGGTTTGATCCCTATCCAGCTGAATTCCTGAGAGGAGACGAAATCCAGGTCTCCTACTCCTCCGCCATCTTGCTCCGCCCCCTCCTTTTATCTTTTAATAACAAAAGGGAACACACACCCTTAAACTCCACAATACAGTCAAGTTCTCACAAAATCATGTTCTCCAGAAGGAAAGCTCAGACATAAGATTACATTTGACTTACTTCCCCTTAAGCATCCAGTGTTGTCATTTCCCCCAGGACTGCTGAGAGATTAAATAGCAGAAGATATGGCAAGGACTTAGTCCAGGGCTGAGACACAGTAGGTACTTGTAAATAGAACTGTTGGGATGGCTGTAATCCGACCTGGGGTCTGTCCCTCTATGAATTCTGAGGCTGGCCCAGACACCAGCTCCTGGTCCAAGGATTCTCTGAATACAGTCCCAACATCAGCAGTAGCAGTGTCACTTGGGAACTTGTTAAAATGTAAATACTCAGGCCCCACCCTAGATGACTCTCCAGAAACTCTGGGGTTGGCTCAGAAGCCTGTGTACTACCACATCTTCAGGTGGTTCTGATGCCTGTTCAAGTCTAAGAACCTGTGATCCACGGCTTCCTCCGCTGGTCAGAGAAGAAGTCCAGATAACGCTGGGATCTGTGGCCAGGGCTTTGTGTATTTTCATTGAACAACACCCCCCCCCCTCCGCCGCAACCCCGCTGTAGCACTTGAAGTCTTCAAAAGACAGGGAATTAACGTTTGCTGAGTACCCATGAGGTTTAATTTCTCTTTAATCTCCATAGCAACCCCATCAAGCAGGTCTTCCTCTCCCAGTTTAAAGAAACAGGTTTACACAGGCACCTGGGTGGCTCAGTTGGTTAAGTAGCCGACTCTGATTTTGGCTCAGGTCATGATCTTGGGGTCCTGGGATTGAGCTCTGCTTTGGCCCCGTGCTCATCCAGGAGTCTGCTTAAGGATTTTCTCTCTCCCTCTGCCCCTCTCCCCACTCACGAGCACTCTCTCTCTCTCAAATAAATAAATAAATCTTAAAAAAAAAAAAAAAGGAAACACGTTTACAAGGGAGACCAAGATCGCACAATTTGTGCAGAACACAGCCAGGCATCGAAGTGCAAATCCCATCCCTTTCCTTGTACCACCATGGGCCTCAGGGATAGGCAAGCAAGGACAAGCAAGGTCCATGGACCCTGGGTAATGGAGAGTAGCTTTGGGGACCCAGGACTTTCAAATGATCTCATGGCCTTCTCCTCTGCTTCCAGACCCCACAAACTCTGAGCATTTACCTGTCAGGCTTTCTGCTCTGATCTGGCTGCTCTGAGGGTCTGGGAAGAAGCAGAGGTAGGTTGGCTGTGGGATAAAAACCACTCTGCCAGGCAATACTGGACATGTGCTGCTGATCAGGAATAGCATTCAAGGGGGCCAGGAATTGGGGATGGTGCAGGCATAGGCAGGGATATGCAAAGCCAGTCATAAGACTCTGGATACCAGACATGGTAGGCTTGGAGCAAGACTACAGTATGACACCCATGGGCCCTTGGCACTTTTCTTTCCTGGGTCCCTTCTGGCATTAAAAAAATATATATTTAACATTATGTTTTACAACTGTTTTTGTATAAAGATGAATATAATCCAGGCTCGATATTATTATCATTATTATTTTACTCAGGTTCTTTCTTTTGTTTTTAAAAGCAATTAAAATTAAAACATTTTAGTTGGTTCATAAAAATATTGTGGTCCTAGTGGCCAGTGGGAGTGTGTCCCTAAACTCCACAGAGAAAACAGCCAGGACTTCCCTTTGCCCCTTAGCAGATAACAGCTCTGCCCTACTTGAGGGATGATTCTCCACTTACATTCTACCTGCAGGAGTATACCTGGAACTGTAGGGAGAGGAGCAAGAGTGAGTTCTGGAGTAAGAATTAGGTCCCAGGGATTCTAGTCCACACTTGCTTCCCACCAGATGTGTGAGCTCTGGCATGTTGCTGAGCCTCTCTGGGACTGTTTCCTCACGTGGTAAATGAGAACGTTGGGCAAATGCTCTGTAAATTCTCAAAAATTGAAAAGCAAAGCTCTCAGGCGGGAAGAGAGGCCGCCCCTTCCCCGGAGTGGGGGCAGAGACAGACAAAGTCGCCTGGTAAGGGTTTGGCGGACAGGCCCAAGGGACCCCGCGCGATGCGCGCCTGTGTTTTGTAGGTGCAGATGTGCAAGGTGCGAGTGCACTTGTTTTTTCTTAGGAAACACTCCTAGGCTCCCAGTCCTAGCGGGAACGTCGCGGGAAGGGGCGTGGGGAGGTGTTCCCTGGGGTCCCTGGGCCGCGTCCGCGGATGGCCCCGCGCCTCTCCAGCTCTTTGGGGGACCCACACCCAGAGCGGGCGGGACGGGCGCCTGGGCGCGTCCCCTGAGACCCGCACGTGCCC